TTTGGCCACTTTCTGGCCAATTTGTGTCCCCCTGTGGAAACTGCCATAAACTGAGCATTTTGCTTTCCATTCTGAGTCCAGCCCATCACCACAGTGGGACTTACTATCTCTGCCCTTAGTCTCACTCCCCCATCAGCACCTTCAAAATACCTTGCTGATATTCTACAAATCATCTTTTGCTGAGAGCAGGAAAGAGCTAAGTGTGGCAGCAAGGCATCCTAAGTAGGGCAGGCTCTGATTCCAGGAGACCCACCCTCCTTGTCACGGTGTTCATGGGGATGCATGGTCCCCACCTGCCTCACAGGCAGGAGGCAGATACCTTCTGCTTGTGAAATGCCGTAGGTCTCTTCTGCTGCGTGGTAAGTGTCAGAACCTAGAGGCCCTTCATCGCCTTATGAACTGCAATCATCTGGGCTTGCCCAAGGTGAGCACAGACAAGGTCTCTGACTCCCTCCAATACATCCAAGGGCTTCTGGAAGAACACAGGCTCACATACAACACATAGCATGTGGCAGTGTGTTACCCAGAGGAAGCAAGATGGCATAAGCCCCAGAGGAGGATGGAGTGGAGCGCAGTCATATGATATAGTCACATGACCAGGTTACCCAAGTCCAAGGGTCTTCCTGGGAATATGGGAGAATAAGGGTGAGGGCAATGATGGAAAAGAGGATCTGACTCAGCAAAGAGGTACTGGTTCCCCCAGTCCATAAACTTGTGGTTCACAAAGAGATGATGTTGAATAGAATCTTCAGTTCCCTGAACTAGTGTCTCTAGCAACAGAACAATCTGAGTAGAGGTATAATAATACAGATTAAATAACAAAAATACATCTATGATCATGTCTAGATCCTAGAAGTGAATAATACCTCAATAATTCAGACTTCCACATTGAAAGGCAGTTTGGAACGTTATTGAGGAATCTCAATCCCACACCACTCTGCAAAACGTGAAATTGCAAATAGGGAGGTAAGGCTGGCTGCCTTACCCATGGAGGAGTGTATTAATGGGCATGGAGTGCCTGGTACCCTCCAGGATAACCGACAAGGGCAGGTCAGGGGCCTGAAGAGGGTATGATGTTGGATGAGTTCCACCTCCCTGCTGTCTGAGGTAGGCCTGTGCTTTCTCACACTGTGAGGAAACAATCTGCTAAACCACAAACATACTTGATGTGCAAAATGATGTGATCCTGCCTGAACTTGCAGTGTGCACAGAACAGGGTACACAGCCCTACCCCAGGCATCCTCTCTTTTTAAAGCACTTAATTTTCACTTCTCTAGGAAGTCCTGTGTCTCTCAGTCTCCAGGAATGATATTCAAGTGTCTGAATTCGCTCTCACTGCTCACTCAGCATTCTTATTCTTGCTGTTTTTTAAAATACTGTATTTGATCATGGTCTCCTCGGTCATGTTTATGTCTGCTGATGTAGTCTTTGGGCTTGGTCATAAAGTGTGATTGGTCTCTGCAAAACATCTTTCTTTAGTGTCTTTAGTTTCAAAGTATGCATGTGGCAGTGGCTTTGGGCCATGGTGGGTTGCTTTTGTGCCCATTAGAGATTGACTGTGCTTGGATGGTTGAGTAGAAGTTGAGGCCATACCCAGGTCACCCAGCTGACACCTGCTCCTCTATGAGGCCCACTTCAGGCTGTGTGTAGAAGCGACAGTCCCATGTAGACAGCAGTGCCCTTGCACAGAGGTGGACTGTTACCCCAGCCTTGATCTCTGCTGTGAGCCACGTTCACCTCTTCCAAAGCAGATGTCACTCTGTACCTGCAGCCTCTGACTGCATAGTCACCTCAACACAGAGAAAATCAGATAGCTGGTGAAAGCCAGAGGTAGACAGATTGAGAGGGCTGGGGTGATGGGAAAAACTGTTTCCATCTCTCGCAGCAGCTGGTGAGTCTCAGAACACATAATTCAGAGTTAAAGACAGATAACAGAGGTAGGTGTATTTAAATATACAAAGGTAAAGAAAAATAGTGAACCAAAATTAGGTGACAGAAGGGATAGGAGACAGGTTCGAAGAAGGAGATGATGCTGATTTCACTGCCGTTCACAACAAAGAACTATGGGATGCTATGAGAGGGAATAAAGAGCTAGAAGAACCCAGGACAGGGGATGAGCCCTCCAAAAGATCAGAAGGGAAAACTCACAACCAGCCAAGCACCTGGCAGCCAGAGATGTTAGGGGCAAAAGCAACGTGCAGGAATGAGTGCCTGCTGCACTGCAGAATGCATAGAGAAAGGAGGATGTCGCCAGGTGCAGTGGTGCCTACCTCTGACAAGTACTCAGGAGACTGAGGCAGGAGGATTACAAATTTAAGGCTAAGCTGAATTATACAGTGAGATCCTATCTCAAAGGAAAACAGGGAAGAAAGAATAGAAAAATGTCTTCCTAAGCACTCTGCTTCTATAGTCTCAGATTATCCCTGGGAAGGTGCCCAGGAAAGCAGCAGTGGTGCTTGCTCAGGAGACAGGCTCGGGGAGTGTGAGATCAAGTGTGAAGAGGCATGCCTTGCACTATTTACTTTGCACTAATTTTGAGCCATATAAATGTAGTACAATTCAAAACTAATAATAAAACACTTTACTACAACACTTTAATGCCTTTTTTAAAGGCAGTTTAAGTCTCGAGCTTTCCGAGATTGAATACTAATTTCATGTCCAGAGCCGCTGCTCCCAGTTAAAAGCATCGAACTGGAGTCAGGTAGAAGTCGAATTAGGTAGTTCTCCTGGCCTCCAAGGAAACAGGAAATTGTTGGAAAATGTATGCTTCCTGAGAAATCACCACTTAGGGACGCTTGCCTTTAATGCCTGGTGAAGGTGGGGGCTTGCTCCTATTAGAGAGTCAAGTGGCAGAAGTCAAGCATTTGTTTTGATCCTCAGGAACCAGGATGGGAACTTGCATATGTCTACGTGTGACTCCTGGCAGGGTCACCGACCTGTCCTAAAGCTGCCTAAAGCTTTTGTGGAACTGGCACCTCCTCTGTGTATGGAAGGAGAAGCCTCAAAATAAAACTCTGTGGAGGCTCATGAAAGCATTACTTGGGGCTTACCAAGGAGGTGTAGGGACAGTTGGAAAATGGCACCTGTCAGCTACAGGCCAGTGAAGCACTAGTTAGCATGCCCATGTTGGAATCACATCAGATCCAAGGTTGCTACAGGCTGAGCACTATGGCTGCATCCGGTGTGGGACTGGTGAAGTGTGTCCTGCTGTCCCCACCACCATGGAGGGTTGGAGAGGGGGTGTCATTTGTGCACACAGCGGGGAATTAGCAAAGCCTGGATTCCAGTCCAGCTGTGTACCTTCTAGAATACATGTCCCTTCTCCCTAGAAGGAACACTGTTCCTGTTGAGAAAGCTGCTCATCAAAGGGGCTGTAGGACACAAGGGACTGTCCCCTTCCTAAAAGATGGGCATGGGCTGTTCTCTCTAGAAAGAGAGGCCTGGGGTTCCCATTGGCACCTCCTCCTGCACTGCTCACTGGGATTCTGGAGAAAGGTTAGCCAGTCATTTCTAGGCTTCTACATGAGTGAACATGGCCAGGCTTAGAGCCTGGTATGATTGCTAGAGGTCTGAGGTCAGCTGGGCCACCTCCAGGAAATCCCTATGACTCTGGGTCCCCATGCGAGTAGACAAGCCCATCCATAAGGCTAAGCCATGGCCAAAATGGTAACACATCTGGGTATCCAAGTGGCATTGTACTGGGTAGGGTGGCCATACCATGCTCCAGTCTGTGTGATGATAATACTGATGCTGACAGTGACCTCTTGGCCATCAGGGCACTCTCTGAGTGTGACATCTGTGTGGTTATCCTCCTGGCCTCTGTAGGGCAGCTGGGTGAGGCTCTTTGCACAGCTGGGGATATGGTAGCATAGAAGCTGGGAGAATGCCAGGCAGCTTGGTCACTCTGGAGCCAAGGGGCAAGCGAACAGAAGAAACACAGGGAGCAGAGGTGCCTCATACTACATAGGCTGGAGGAGACCAGCTGGGGCATGAGCCAGCCTGTCAGCATGCCAGGCAGCACTTGGTCTCTGCAGGTGGCCACCCAGAGCAAGGCTGCCTGAGGTGGCATTGCTGGCGAGGCCTGGTAGGCTCTGCTTGCTGGCCTACCCCTCTGGGTCCCCCTTGTTTAAACTGAAGAGTTGGGCTGTCATTAATTTTTCTGATGCCACAGTATCCTGTCCGTTCTGGTTTTAATCAGCATAGAAGCCCAGCAGCAGGACCACACGCTGTCTGCAAGCCCAAAGAAGGACAAGCCTGGTGCGAGCATCCCAGGCTGGGTCTGAGAGCTGGCAAGGCCTCTCTTTAAATGCTGGCAGGCGGGCCTCGGGGTTGCCTTGTTGGAGGGGTTTGATCATTAATAATGTCTGATCAACCATGAACCTTTAATAGTCAAGGAACTTTGAGCCACTCAGAGCACACCCAGCCCTCTCTCAGCTGATTAAAAAACACTAGGGGAAGGTTCTTCAAAGTGAAAACTCCCTGGAACTAAAAGGAATATGTGGGGAGGGGATACCAAGAGGAGAAAGCCCAGAATTATGGGTAATGGGAAACAGGAGGATGCCAGGCCCATGTGGCTGTTCCACTCAATAGGCTGCATTGTGGTTGGCAAATGTTAGTTGACCTGCTGAGGGCTGGCACTGCCCTGTTCTACTCAGAGGAAGAGAAGTGCACCGTCACCCTGTGGGTGGGGGGAGAAGGGGACAGAATAGCCATAGCTAAGGTGCCCCAGTGCTGGACTCTGGTGGCATCCTCAGAAAAGATGAAAATGTTTTCACATCTTGTTTCCATGAAGGATGAAGAGCAAAAGCAGTTCCTGGGGGATTGTGTTTAGAGGCCCCTCTGTTCATCACCCCGAGTATGATTTCCCTGTCAGTATACACCACCCTACTGCAATCTTTGGGTTTCTGATCCAGAAGTCATTATGGGGTGGCAAGCGAGCCTGATCCCCAGGGACTGGCTGAGCAGTCTCCCGGTCTCTCGCCGCCCCACCTCGCCCACAGGGTACCAGATCGCCTACCGCCTGGCCAGCAGCCGCCCCCACACATTCACCACCGTGGAAGTTGGTGCCACTGTACGACAGTTCACAGCCACCGAGCTGGCCCCGGAGTCTGCGTATGTCTTCAGGCTGTCTGCCAAGACAAGGCAGGGTTGGGGGGAGCCGCTGGAGGCCACAGTCATCACCACCGAGAAGAGGGGTAAGTGCTCTAGCCCAAATCTAATGTCACAGATGGCAGGCAGGGGCAAGGGGACATCCAGCTGCCACGCTGGGCTCTCTGTGATCCACACAGTGGCTGGGAAGCTTGTGATTTCCTTCAGAGACACAGGAAGGACTCACTGAACAAAGCAATGAACTGGCCTCCTTAATCATGTGGTATCTACATAACACAGGCTTTAGCCACTTCTTCCTGTCTCAGACAGGAGAGATTACCCAGGCTTAAAGATAAGAGGCATGGCTCAGGGAGGCTGTGCTACTGGTCCAGGGTTGCACAGTCACATGAGTATAAGCTTCCCAGATCTACACACCTGCTCTCTGCTGTTCTGAATTGTGTGTCTAGGGAGCAGGTGTGTAGATGTCTTCTGATTAGCTGCCCTCCTATGACACACAGGGACCAAGTGTGTGGGGTTCTGTGTCTCAGTCCCTCCTCACTGCACCCTGTGAGGTACATGGTGTTCCCAGCAATCTCACAGAAGCAAAAGTTGAACAGATTTATCTATTTGCCAGTACCTAGCACTGAGAAGCTGAGATTTGGACCGGCCCCATGACCACAAGGCCAGCTTCACCCACCAGTGTCTGCCATGGCTACTGTCTCTTGGGCTCCTGCCCACAGCCTCAGGCCTTGCTCTAGAGTCTTCCCAGCAGCCCAAACTGTTTTATGATGACATCAGGGCCAGGGCAGAGGAGGCTGGATGCAGAGCCCATTGGCTCCTGGGAAACAGCACTTGGAGATATGTGGCCTTGGGCAACTCTGTCTGTACGTACTCTGAGTCATAGCCCCAAACTGCAACCTGGTGTACAGCAGTCATCATGGTACCCAAGACACCTGAGTGGCTGTCCACGTTGGCATCAGGGCTTCCTGGGAGCAAGGCTGGAATGATGTAAGTGCTCACCAGATGTGAACTGCTGTTACTGCTACATTTGTGACCATTTTAATTTTTTTTTCTGTGTGTGTGTGTGTGTGTGTGTGTGTGTGTGTGTGGCACTGGGATTGAACCCCAGGCTTCTTTGCACAGAGCTCCATTGACAGTCCCTTTTATTTTTTGAGACAGAGTCTTAACTAAGTTGTGTAGGCTGGGCCTAAACTTGAGATCCTCCTGCCTCAGGCTTCCATAATGACTTTTTTTATTATGAGATGTGAAATACAGTTTTAGGGAGTGAGGAGTTGAAAGCAGAGCGCTTGAAAACAACTATGGCCTTAGATCTAGAAGAAAAGGAGACCAACACTGAGCTTCCACCACATCGTGTCACCTTGTTGGACAGGGCCACCTCCGTATCCTTCTCTAGATCTCACAGTGGTGCTCTAGGGTTTGCGGGAAGGGAAACCAGTGCTCTCTAGGATGAGCCCCCACAAAGGTGCTGTGTGACTGCTGGGCTGGAGACACCTGTGCAGCCCTGGGGCCTGCTGGGGAATGAAAGGTTTTATCTAAGTCAGTTCCAAGTGGAAATACTCACATGAATCCCATCGTGGGTGGAGCAACACAGCCAGCCCCCATCTGCCTACTCTGAAGGCAGGGTCCAGGTCTCCCCACCTTGTCCCCCGCATGCACCCCATCTTCTCCAGGTCACCTGCTTCTCCAGGAGGTTAGATTTGCCAGCATGCCCAGGGACCCTCTGTCTGTGACTCAGAGGCAGGGAGCCGAGAGAACCTCAGATTGGCAGTGTGTCCAGAGGGAGGCTTTGGAGCAAGGAAAGGTTCTAGGAGAAATCGGGCGGCACCACGCATACCCAAGGAAAGACTGCTGATTAGGGTAGATCGAAGTGCTTCTCATGGACCTGTCACTGCAGGGCCCACGATCAATTGCTGCTTTATTACACCCCACACATTTTAATCAGAATCAATAATCTTCATGATAAACAATTAAACAATTATTCCTCCCTCTGTGGAGTTTCTCTATTGAAATCAATGGGGTGCAGGGCACAGTGACAGGCCAGTGATACCCACTTGAAAACAGAGCTGGTCCTGTGCATCTTGCAACCTGTAGCCTAGCCCCAGTGCTGCACACAAGGTAGCAGAGGGGCTGGATCTGTGCCCCCTCAGAAGAGGCAGAAGCCTCTCATGCTGTAAGTTGGGCTGGCCCCACGGGAGGTAGGGTTTGGTGTTAATGGTGTGCAAAGTCGGGGTCAGGGAGTATAGAGGAGGCAGAGGTGCTGGGAAGAGCCCTGAGCTCCTGGTGCAGCTGTCATTCAGACTCTAGCTCATGATAGGTGAGGCAGGGGCCTTTGTGTGTATCCCTTTTGCTGCAGGAACCTGTAGGGTCTCCAAGAAAGGTCCAAGCCAGTACAACCAAAGTCAGCTGGGAGGCAGCTCCCCTCTCTCAACTGAGACAGCCACGTTTCATGGTCTGACCTCTGTGCAGCCATGACCTCAGGGGCAGCTGGACACATGGAAAACAGTCTCCCTCTCATGCCTCCCTGTCTGCTTTCTTTGGTTGCAGAACGACCATCACCCCCCAGAGAGCTCCAGGTACCCCAGGCAGAAGTGACTGCACGCAGCCTGCAGCTCCAGTGGGTTCCAGGCAGTGATGGAGCCTCCCCCATCCGGTACTTCACTGTGCAGGTGCGAGAGCTGCCTGGGGGCGAGTGGCAGACCTACTCCTCATCCATCAGCCACGAAGCCACAGCCTGCGCCGTGGAGAGGTACTGAGGGATCAGGCTCTACCACACAGTAGCCAGAGACAGTGTCAGTGTTGCCGTAGAGGCACCCACAAAACCACCCCCATCCCTAGCAACACTCTCCATGCCAGGGACCCCAGTCCCTCCCAGCTGGCCTTGCAGGCATGTACTGCATAGCTGTTTTCCAGATGTAGACCCCAGGATTGGCAAGGAGTGGATGAGGGGCTGAGCCGGGTCTTATGGGCTAGATGTCGCAGACCCTCTTGAGCTGGTGCAAGATATGGGTGGAGTAGAGATGTGTGCGAACTGGGGAAAGGCTGGGGAAGGGCCCTTCTTTTTATATTCTTTCCCAGAGCAGCAAAGGAAAAGCTTACCCTACAGATGTGCTGACTTAGATGGGTCATGGTTGAGTGACTGATAGAACCCAGGCCACAAGGCCAGAGCTGTCACACACACACACACTCCTGTGTCCACCAATTCAGCCTGAGCACAGCACTGACAGTCCTGCATGCACAGGCTCATGGGCCCTATCACAGCCCCCTCCAGAATGGAGCGTACAAGCTGGAAGAGGATAAGCCAACAGCCCAACTGAAGCAGGCTTTTTCAGTCCCAGCAAAGGTCTTGGTCTCTGGTCCCACTGGGGACCACCCAGGCATTCAGCTTAGAAGAGGCGCCCTACAGGGTGTGGGCAGGGCTCTGGGAACAGAGCCTTCACCAGCACGTGCCAGTGAGAAGCAGCGTCCCCTTCCATGGTCACCTCAGAGGTCTTTCTGTCGTAGTCAGGTGGCTTCCAGGTGGTTAAAGGCTTTTAGTCAAAACATCATTGCTGTCATTATTGTCATCATCATGGTCACTGATATTGCCTGATGGTTATACAGGGTGCAGACAGACATTCCAGGATGCTTACCAGAAGCCTGAAGCCTCACATGGTCCAAAGCCCTCTACATGCTGTGCTTTCCCAGACCCACAGGCCCGAGAGAAAGTCTAATTTATAAACCAGAAAGCACTAACTAATAGCAAAGTAGAACAATTACAACAACATAGCATGCTGCATAAATGTTTAGAATGTATGACTCATTTGTTTATTGCTAGAACTTTCACCGGATAGTTTCTGAAACCAAGTAGAGAAAAACATGAGCAAGGAGTCACTGTATTAAAACCTTCTGTCACTTACAAAACCTTTCCAGAGGTTGCTCTGTGACATCCATAATAACCCTGTGGAAATGCAGCCCAGAACTGTAGCATTCCCATTTTACAGAGGAGGAAGTCAAGGCAGAGACATTGTACATAAATGATATTCTGTGCCTCAGTTTCTCTAAATGGATGAAATAGTGCCCTAATCTTCTGTGGCTCTGACATTCCTTGGGCCTGTGTTTTCAAGCCTTGAAGGACACCAAGCATCTCTGACAGCTGAGTTACAAGCAGCCATGGTGTCGGGATAAAGCCAGGGCATTCACGGCTCAGCAGCACCTCTCAGTTCTGGGTCTTCCTGAGCAGACACATGGCCTCTGAAAAGCCTATCACTACTTCCTGGCAAACCTTGGCTCCTCACTGTGAAAGCCAGGGCCAGGAGGAAGGAACAGCGGTACCTTCCACACCTGGCTTCCAGACTGGCCTCATCACGACTCCAGCAAGTAGAGCAACAAGTTAGACCATCCAACATGTCAGACTGGCCTCTGTGTTCCTGCCAGCATCCTGCTGACCCTTTGAGGAATAGCTATGGAGCCTGGGTATGGTCTCCAGCCCTCCAAAGGAGAGCACTCCTGGCTACCAGCGCCACCCACCTGGAGCCCCAGGGTTCTCTTCAGCTGGCCCCGGAGGTCTGGTGACCATGGCCAGGCAGGGCCCACCTTCCTTAATAAGCCAGGCTGGACTGCACTGAGTGCTGATCTGAATTAGCAGTGTGCCCATTGAGTAAATGACTTCACTTCTTTTGTTACCATCAGAAAGAAAGGAAAGAGATTCAGCCACTTTGTCTGGAGCCTTCTGAGATCATAGAGACTAATCATGCACTTGGGACTTGGTGTTGTAAAGAGAGGTCTGTGTTTCAGGACAAACAGTTTAATTTGGTGGCAAGGAAACCATTGTCAATTTCCTAATGGGCCAGAACTAGGGCAGATGCCTCCTCTGCCTGTCAATAGGGAACATGTCACAGGCAGAATCCCGAGGAAGCAATATTTTGTACCCTGTAGCGGTATAATCTCCCTTCCTGATTAATAATCCTGGCAGCTGTGTTACCTTTACCACTCAGGTGACATCTGCAAGTGGCTAGAAAGCATGGAGTGTATAGCTGTCCAGATCCAGGGACTGTGAGTGTAGCTGCTCACCAAGGGCCCAGGCCAGAGGGAGCATGTGAGTTAAGGCTGAGCAGCTCCCGTGGGGAGTGCAGCCAAGAAGAGGGGGTCACTTTGACTCAGGGATGAGCAGTGTCCACAGGGCCCTGGGATGGCTCTACATCTGTGGGTGCTGCACTCCCCGATCTCTGCCAGGAATAGGTACAGTGGAAGGATTGCAGCCAAAAGGCTGGAAGGGGAGCATCACACGAAACATGGCACTAAAGCCAACTTGCCAGCACTTGCTCCATCACAGTCCATAGTTTTTCTTCCTTGGAACCTTTAAAAACATAGGCGTTTTAAAGTCAAGTGAATTTGACTAAGAATATTATGCACGGGTGCCATATTCTTTGTTCTTTGTGATGCAAATGATGAACTCTTAATCATTTCAGTGTCTTCAAGATAAATGAATAAAAGAGGTAGTGGTCAGCTTTTTAAAATGCCTTGGACTCATACGCTACCACCAAAAGGAATGCATGATACCAGCATCCCAGTGCCCCTTCACTGACAAGGCCCTGTGTGGCACTGGGAGGGACACTGTCAGCTGGGGCCCAACCCATGCTCACACTCATGCCCTACCACACTGAGTGTGACTGCAGGCCAAGGCAGGGAGGGACACATGTGCCTTCTCAATATGCCCAGCTCCCAACTTGGGGCACAAGGGTTTGGAAGCAAGTTTGGGTAGTGAGCATCCTCATTCTCTGGGTTTTGGGGTAAGAGTCATGTAGCAGGTGTCTTCTCAAAACTGTATTAAATCCATCCAATTTCCAAGTTGGAAGAGAGGAATTTGGAGGGCAAGGTGGGGGGAGGGTGCTGCAGCCTGTATTGTGACTTCCTGGGAAGGAGCAGAAGTGCCAGGGGCCCAAAAGTCTGCAGGAAGACCAGAGAGAGAAAGGAGCATTTAGGGCTGGGAAGATAGCTCAGTGGTTTAAGCACCTGCCTGGCAAGCACAAGGTCCTGAGTTTGATCCCCAGTACAAAAAAAAAAAAAAAAAAAAGGGAAAAAAGGAGCATTTAGTAATTGTATCCTGTGTGATAAGAACCCATGGACTTCGAGGTTGGGCTCTATAATTCAATTTGTACAACAGCCCTTTTAAGTATGGGTGCTGGGGTGCTGTTTTCTCTAGTTTTATAGATGAATAAAGTGATAGTCACAGACATGAAATGACCCAAGTGTGATGGTGCACACCTACAATCCAGTACTCTGAAGGCAGAGGCAGGAGGATTGCAAGTTTGAGCCTACCTTGGGCATCTTCGCAACTTAATGAAGCCTTGTCTCAAAATAAAAAATTTAAAAGGGCTGGGAATGTAGCTCAGTGTAAAGGTCTTGGGCTCAATCCCCAGGATGTACCATTTAAAAAATGCTTTGCCCAGGTTAGTAATAGCAGAGCCAGAATCTGAACCCTGCTTGCCTAACTCCAAAGTACAGGCTTGAGCTGTCCAGTATGAAAACAGAATTGGGGGGAATGGGAAGGGGTGAAGGTGAGTGTTCTGGTATCTTTGCTCCTCCAGTCATCACTGAAATCTTTCTCTGTCATAGGAGAGCATATGGCAGGGGACAGTGTGGTAGGCTAGAGGTGCCAGGGCCAGGAATTCAGATAGCCCAAGGGAGGATTGAAAAGGATGGAGGAGCTTGTGCAGGATGCTACTGAGTCGACGCAGAGCCAGGGAGGCTGCTGACTGGGACAGGGGCCACCGTCGCCTTCATCACACGTCTCCCCTGGTCCATGAGGGACTGCTCGCCTGTGTATGGCTTCCTGCTGAGAGGGTTTGCCTTGTGTCAGCAGACGAAATGAGCTGGCAGGACTCCCATCTCCTTCTGCTTTCCTTTGCACCAGCCCCATTTCTCAGAGCCAGGCCAATTTGTCCAGCCACCTGACACATAGTTACTGTGCACACCCATGTGCCCATCAAGCTCTGGACCCACGTGGACAGCAGAGAAAGAGTGTCATGGGGAGCATGCAGTGTGGACTCAGTCCCCAAATCCTTAGCCATAGTAACACCTGGCACTGCACACTGCTAAATGTACCACAAGTCTTTTCTCGGATATCTGCTATGTGACAGACTCACACATCCAGTGCTGCAGAGCCCAGCTCCATGGTTGCAGTTTATTCCTTCCTTCAGCAGGTACCACAGGGTGGATGGAGAAGATCAGAGTGGCCCATCAACAATGGGGAGGGGATGGGGAAAAAAACGAAGGGGAGGAACCGGCTTTTATAGGGTGGCTCAGTAGCTTAGGGTGAGGTCAACCATTACCTCAGTTCTTACACTGCAAGGTAAGTTGTCACTTGAAGCTCAATCTGGTTCCCAAAACGTGATTGTCCCTGCTTGGTGGGGGAGGCAGGCTCAGCTCTGTGAGGCTCTGCTGGAGTCCAAAAGGACAACAGCTTCTAGGACAATGACTGGGACCTCAAGGTCCCGATTCCAAATCTCTTATCTTGGTGTTTTCAGTCTTGAAGGGGGATGAGATAGGTTAGGTACATTTGGGACTAGGACCTTCCTTAAATGATTAACCTGCTTACATGCAGAGCTAAGCAGCAATCTGATTCAAAGTTTGAAGGTGATAAAAGAAATAAATGCAAAATGAAGGCAGAGACGCCAGGCTTTCTCCTGCTTTTTATCCCCTGGGCATCTACAGGCCAAGTGAAGTGAACTGTTTTTTAGGCAAAACAGCTGTTAGGCTCCTACCTCAGAAGAAAACATAGATCGTACTTTTAACGAGTAACAAGGTGAGGGTTCAGGAGTGTGTCTGTCTTCTGTCCCTCTGTGGTGACCCCAACAGCATTATTTTCTCATCTGGCTTATTCTTGGGAATGCCATGGAGAGGGCATCTGGGACCTTAATGATACATCTGGGTTTTGAGAGCGATAAGATTGTCTGGGAGAGCAAAGGCAAAGGGAAGAGCACATGCCATCCATTTAATGGGCAGCAAGTCCAAATTAAACCCAGAAAGCCCCCATCCTTCATCCCCCCAGTAGTCTCTGTCCCACGGCCATACTTCACATGAGGGCAAGGCAGGGTGCCAGGTCCCCCAAAGTCATGTGTCTTCTTTCCTCTTTAGGCTGAGGCCCTTCACCTCCTATAAGCTGCGTTTGAAAGCCACCAATGACATTGGGGACAGCAACTTCAGCTCAGAGACTGAGGCCGTCACAACGCTACAGGATGGTGAGCAAGCAGCCCTGAAGCCCAGGACTTGCTCTTGTGAGGGACCCCACTTTCATCCTGAGCCAGGAAGGAAGGGGTCACCAGGGAGATGGCAAGCAGCAGAATCCCATTAGCAACAGACAGCTTGGAGTATTCCCACACACCCTGTGATCGTAAATCAAGGCATCAAGGGCTTCCAAATGGAATGGAACTTTCTTTGATTGTCTTCCAAAGCCCCTACGTCCATTAGCATCCCAGAAATTGAATAACTGATAGGGTCATTAAAAATAAATGTCAGTGGGTAGCTGGGTTTGAGAGGCTTCCCCCATTTTTCTCATTCGTGAAGCGCTGCATTTGAGAATAGCACAGGTAAGTGATGGAAGACTGAGCCCCTCTAAGTACCAGGTGAATTTTACATCCCCGTCCTACTTTGGAGCCACTGGGCCTGAAGATTCATTGTAATTTCCTGTGACCCCATGCTGCCAGGCTGCAGTAAGCCTGGGAGATGGTTCCATCAGACATATCGGGCTGTGTAGCCCACCCGTGGGACAGAAAGGATGGATATTTTGCAGCAGGCAGCTCCAGCCCACAGTCTGAGCACTTAGTTCACCCAACAGTGCTTTATAACAATTCCCTAAGCCAACCACACAGCACTGTCTTTTCCATTTAACGCACCAGTGGAACCATTTTCAAATAGACGAGCTTCCAGCTGGCTCAACCCTATGACCTCACATCTTCAGTTCTGCTTGTTTTAGAACCTCTAAGTTTAGTTGCTGCCACACAGGGCCTCACAGGACCTGAGGGACCAGCTCTGAAGTGGAGGGAGCCACGCTCAGCGTCTTAGCTGTACTCAGACTGCCATAGACCCAGCTCTCCCACTGGGCAGAATCTGCTGGTCTGTGCCCTGAAAGAGGAGTTTTCCAGGCTCAGGGGCTCCAGGGGCTTCCAGACCCTGGCTGGCTGTGTCCTTAGGCAAAACCAGACCTGCCTTGACAAATGACTTTGTGACTCCAGCTTTAATGAATGTCCAAACTATTTCGCTGGCCCTATAATCCTGGGAGTTTGTTAGAGCCCAGAGGAAGCCAAGAGGTGGGGTGTGGGGTGGGGGGACAGACACCCCAGGGAGGGGCAGACAGGCCTCACTGGCTCAGCTCTTCCAAGAGCCCTGTCAACCTCAGAGAGCTCACAGCCAGCTGGGGAACCCAAAAGGGGGAGAAGCCACTTCATTCAAGGGGAGGCTGCACACGATCCAAACCCCTGTCTTCCAATCAGTGCACCCATAGTGGGACAACCTTGCACTCCCCATAAGAGAAGCCTGGCACTGCAACTTCAGTCCCAACCCAGACTGCAGATGTCTTCCCTTGAACTTCACACTGAACACAATCGTAATATTCGCAACTGTGTACTAATGCTTAGAACAAAAGTAGAAAGGCATGCAGCAAGCAGGTTTTATTGTTGTGTTATCTCTGACAAACCCTGTGAGCACAGGAAGCAGCATCCCTGTGACCTGGGTGAATGGGCCTTTCTGAAAATCTATTCAAGGACTCTTGAGGCCTTTCTTAATCCTTTGATATTCAAATCAGTGCTTTTGATGCACCTATCTCATCATCTTCCTTTTCTGAGACACAGTTCCCCTTTGCATAGGATTTGCATTGTGTTTGTGCTGCACTGTCTCCCGCTGCCAGCAGATTGACAGGCTGCATGACCCACACTAGGTGGGGAGGGTCCTTTGAGCCTGGGGATGGTTTACTGATAAACAGTTTCTTACTAGGGAGGTTTTTATTTCCCTGCCCTGTAGCTGAGAAAGGGCTCTCTGGAAAGCTGGGCCAAGGCTTACCTGAGGCCAGACCGCAGGAGGCTCAAATGAGCCATGGAAGGAGGAGTTAAGGATGGAGATGGGAAGAAAAGGAGGTCACAGGTCTAGAGGAAAATCGCAGGACAGTAACCCAGGCATTTTGGACAGGCACTCCCATGGGAGTGTGGGACATTCTCAGTCTAAGCTTGGGGTATTTATTAGACATATAGAATATCAGGCCTCTTCTAGGACCTCACAGCCAGGCAAACATAGGGAAATCAATTCAGTCCCCAAGAGAGGGCTGGATTGATTTGAGGGGGATGTAGGAAGGGTCAAACAAGGCTTCCTGATGTATTGGATGCAAAGGATTTAGCTTTGACCAGAGGGCAGGGCTCAGCCTTGAGCAGAGGTCAAACCAACCTTGTCCTGCCAGAGGCCAGAGCAGAGCTACCTGGGTTCTGGACCATGACCCATGGCCCCTCCCATGGCCCCTGGCCTTGGGCAGTCTCACCAAAATTATCTCCCTTTCCCGACAGCCCCATTAGAATTCAATTCTACCTGACATGATCATCTAATCCTGCTCAGGAGAATCAGCTCTGACCTAAGACTTCAAAAAATGATTTATGTCCACTACTTCCCAAAGTTCTGGAACTATAGGGAACTCCCAGGTGACTACCACTGGAGTGAACAGCCCCTAGATGGTCTACCAGGGAGAGGCCAGACTCAATTAAAGTCTCAGTGAAAAGCAAAGTTGAGGGCAGAGCCTGTGACCACACTTTTTGGGACTGGCTGCCTTCATGAACTCTTCCAAAAGGCAAAAAGGCTGCCCATGGCGAGGAGGGGCAGGAGTGGTCACCCCTCGCACCCTTGGGGTAGCCCCTGGGCTATTCTAACCCTGTTTCTGGGCTTCAGTTCCAGGAGAACCTCCAGGGTCTGTCTCCGCTACACCACATACCACTTCCTCCGTGCTGATCCAGTGGCAGGTAAGAGCTGGGGACCCTGGTGGTTCATCTGGCACACTCTTAATCTCTGGTACACTCTTTCATCCAGGTTGGCTGGATTTGGACACAAGCCATACCTATACCAAATATGTGAGTGGAACAGAGATATAGTCTGCTTAGCTGATAGTGAAAGGGAAACTGGTATCATGGTTATTTCCTAAATCCTACAACCATGACTATAGTGCAAGGACAGAATGAACCTATGCTAGACTCCTCAGGGCAGGTGGGTGGATATGGTCTTAGGACTCAGTCAGCCATTCCCAATGTCCTCAAGAGCAGTCAGTTCACCCACAGCTACCTATTTACCTAGAAATATCACTCACTATTACATAGAATGGCTACAGGATCATGTGTATTTTTGCAAAGTCTGGCTCTTTAATCTCCAGTAAACACTGAAGCAGACAAGTCATGTTTCTCTGGTAGCACCAACCTCAACGGGTCTGTGGCCCAGTGCTTTAGCACAGCACTGAAAGGACATGCTGCCCTCTTTGTACCTATTCCCAGCTCTTTGTCATATTTACTAGCTGCAGAGTTAGTAAACAGATACAGAGGAGGATACAGATAACAGAGAGGCAGATCCCAGGAAAAGCCCATCTTGGGAATGAGGGCTGGAATCTGCAGATAAGGACTGGGCCCAGAGCCTGGGAGCAGCGATGCCAGATGCTGGTTAGCTCCCCAGGGCTAACCCAGCAGCCCCCTGAGCTGTCCCTGACACCAGGATGGAGGCTGTCACGCTGGGGCATGGTATGTGAGGGGAACCTACGTGTAGCTGCTGTGACCCAAGCAGTAGTTTGTGTGGTCATGAGTGAGCCTCTTCCTGAGGTTGTCAGCACCATGGGAGACAGTGGCCTCTTGACTCCAGACTCGGCAGGAAAGAGGATAATGCTGTGGAGGTCAGGAGATGAAGCTGAACTCAGTGACACTGAAAGCCAAGCCAGAACTATGGTCTAGATGCTGCCGTGGACAGCAGAGACAGCTGTGTTGTGCTTTGTACTTTTTTGTTGTTGTTGTACCAAAAAAATAAAACTCAGCTCCGCCAGGGTGCCCTGAGCTGGTGATTGAGACTGGGCATGGTGGCGCGTGCCTATAATCCCAGCACCCAAGCTGAAAAACAGAAAAGATCACTAAAAGTCTGATCTGTGTAGTGAGACCCCGTAAACCCTGTACTAAATACATTAAAAAAAAAAAAAATCAAACTCAGGGTCTTACACTTGCCAGGCAGGTGCTGTGCTGCTGAGCTACATACCCAGCAAGGGCCATGTTGTAACCACATGGCTCAGTAAGGGGCAGAAGGAGTGATAAATATGACAGGGGCACAAGGGCTCCAAGGAACCCATCCCAAGGAAGTGTTTCTCAAGCCCAGAAAAGGGGCCTGCTGCCTCAGTAGCCTTCCTGGGGCATCTCAATGCTAGGACTGCAGCTGAAGTGGAGGAACCGAGCCAGAAGGGCTGGAGGAACTTCCCAACAGAGGTATCCAAGTTATCCTGCTTGTGACTGCTGACTCCTAGAAGTCCTGTTTCCCTGGCAAGTTTGTCATTTGGTGGTGTCAGTACTAGACTGAATCCTAGCAGATGACACCAGAGCCAAGGGATAGAGGTGGCCATTGTGTAGGGATCAACTCAGTGAAACTTGTTATTGCCGCTTGTTTGACTTCAATAAGCCAAGCTTCTGCCAAAAGTGTATCATCTCCTCTGCACATCGATGGAGTCCTGTGACCCCTCTTCACCTCTTTTCTGTGACCTAATGGCTTCTCTAGAGAGCACAAAAATGTTTCTGAGCAACAAAAAAAAAGACATTTCCAAAGGTCTCCTGGTGAATTTGGAAATTTGCTGCCATGAATTTAGCCTCTTCTAGTTTTACTGTGGTATAGGGAATTAGGTGGGAACAGGAAGGCTCAAGCTGGGCTCCCATCTACCCCTATCTGCCTGGAAGCCCCTGGCAAAGTGACAAAGAACCTGGCCTCCATCTCTGCAAGGCCACTGTAACCACAAGAGGCCCCTCTGTCTCTAGGTCCCTGTTGTGGAAACAGAAGATCTTAAAGGCCAGGGTCTCTGGTATTCCAGGTCCATCGTACTCACAGTCCCTACTGGGCCCCAATTCCTGTGCCAAGAGGTAGGAAACACTCAAAATGTAAATTCAAGGTCCCAAGCACTTGTGTCTCCCACTCTCCATGAATATAATCAGCTGAAAGAAGATTGGCCTTTTGTACTGTGTTAAGTTCCACTCAGAAATTAGCATTTTCTTTTTAGATGTGGCTGTTGGTCTGCCAATCACAAGATAAGCTCCTTTCTCTAAAGGCTGCCAACACTCAGGCCACAACAGGTCAACCTCTCCAGATCGGTGACAGTATACCGCAGTCAGCTGCAGAGGCCTGCCTCCAACGGTGCGCATCAAGCCCCTCCATTGCTGCTGGAAGGTCCAAGAGCTGTGCCAGAGGAACTTGGCACATGTGTCCATCAGCTGTCCCCTTCAAGCCCACTGGAACAAACTAATTGCAAAAAGCCCAGAGCAGGAGGTGGTCAATACGCTGTATTGTAGGAACAAATGCCTGTCAACTGCCAGGCAGTTGAGGTACAATTGAAATTATGAGTAATTTGCTAAATCAGAGCCAACAGAACAAAGCAAAAGAAAGTAGGTTTAAATATAGATTTGCATTCCCAATGAAATGTTTCACCTGTAAACCTTTGTTTCTTCAGTAATTTGTTGAAAAATGCAAACACTCGCTGTAATTTCAAGGCTCAGCCCCACTTAAATGCCTCCTCCATCGCAGCCTGTCAAGTCTGATTCTTCTTAGTGGGATAATCAATCTGTGCCTCCATGGGGTCCTGTTCTGTTTGAAATCCCAGGATCTAAACGTGTGTCCCAGACAGGAGGGGCGTTGTGCTCATGCTGAGTATCCCTCCGAACAGGCAAGGAGGTCTCAGAGTCGATCACAACATTGACGCGCGTTTTCCTAAGCCCCCCAGGGGCCATGCTGTCTGCCATTCAAAAGCATGTCCCCTCAGGCAGCTCAGAGTCCTCCAAGTGGATTTGGACACTTTTCTCACGAGGAAAAAACCCCAAGCAGTAGATCACCTCCTCCTTGGAGCTGCCAGAGGAAGGTAGACTCAATGCTGTCACAGGCACCTTCCCAGGGAGTGGGACAGCTACTAGGCAGGGAGCAGTGCCTCAGGGCTTTCTCCCAACAGATCCTGGAATTTATTCTTTTCTTCATTTGCACCATAATGTGCAGAAGGCCAGCTCTCAAGCAGGACTGTGGGGTTCAGGGGTAGAAGAGACAGGCAAAGAACTATAATAGCTCAGTTGGCATCAGTGGAAAAACAGCAGGGAGCCCCTAATTGTGGTCAGAGGGACAACTAAATGCACTACAAAGGACAGATGGCCTCCCAGGTACAAAGGAAAAAGGCACAGTTGAGGCAAAGGCTCAGAGACAGGAAGTTGCCAGGAATTTGATACTGCATTTCATGGAAAGGCACCAAGGACCTCTTGGGTTCCTGTAACCACTGGGACTTAATCCTGGGGAGAATCCCTGTTCCCCTCTCCAGGAAGAGGAAGTCATGGCCAGGGACTGTGGCAATCCAGTTTGATTTCAACTTGGTCCAGCTCTGCCTCTTACTCTCTATCAATCCAAGTCCTCGCCTACAGGATAGGCCTAGCCAGGGCCTGCCCCCCCCCACTTCCTCCCACCCAAGCTGTGTGGCTCAGCCTGTCCCTGCTGTCAGGCAGGAGGGAGCTCAAGGTGGGAGTCCTGCTCCCTCCCAGCCTTAATCCTTCCCTCCACTCATCCTGCTGTCCATCCTGGTCTCCCCGGTGCACCATGGTCTCCCTGCTGTGTTTTGTGGTAACACCCAGGCATACTTCTGGTAGACACCTGCACTTTCACACAAAGCTTTTGAAAGGAAAAAGCCCACTCACACACATGGCCAGTCAGACTGAAACACAACATGGACAAAGTTGTCATAATCTACAGAGTTGACTGAATACCTACTTTATCCAAGTCCATCAGTTCCCAGTGCTGAGAGACACACAGGAGGTAGACAGAGCCTTGACCCTTGGCACATGGCAATTCAGAAACTTCAGCTGAGGGCTGGAAGAAATCAGTCTACGTGCAAAGGGACTTTTGTGTAGATTCATGTAATGTCTGAAGACCATCAGTTTGACTGTCCCCTGTTATGGGTGCAGTATGAGCCTGGGGATTCAAGTAATCGTGGAGGCCACAAAACCAGAGTTCAAATCCAGCGACAAATTTACCCAGCACTTCCTGAGCCTGTGTGTGTCCCAGGAAACTGCCCTCCCATGACTGCTGGGGCCCTCCAGAGATATACAGGATGATCCCTTACTCCACAGATGGAAAGCTAGGTTACCCACCATTCAGAATCCCAAGCTTGCTGCCCACTGTCTGCAGAGTAACCATGCTCAGTGAGTGAAGCTCAGCCAGGAAGATGGGCCTGGGACAATGGAGGTCCCTAATGAAGCGGTGCTCTGGGCCTCAGTCAGGCAGCTTTGTGCCACTGTAACAAGACACCCAAGACAATTGACTTAAAAGAAAAAAGGTCTATTCAGCTACCAGTTCTGGAGCTTCCAGTCCATGATTGGATATATTCACTGCTTTGGGCTTCTGGTGAGGGTTCCAGATGGCAATGGGAGCACATGGAGGAGATGCTGCCCATCTGTGACTAGAAAGAAAAAGAAACAAAGAGCAGCCAGGACCCCAGAGTCCCCTTCAGAGTTTTACCAACAACCTGGGGCAGCCCATGTCCCAAAGGTTTCAGCACCTCTGAGTAGCACCGCCCTGAGGACCAGCCCTCCAGCACACAGGCCTTTAAGGACAGTCCTCCAAGCCACAGCAGGGCTGTGCCTCCCCCTTGGAAGACTTCTGCTGGCATGGGGAATGCATTGAGACCCTTGCAGTGCTTGAGACGTGTGGGTCAACCTGTTGGCAAATATGACCTCAGCCTGGTGTCTTTGTGCCTTCGGGTGGAGAGATTGGCCTCTTCTCCAAAGCCTCAAGGTAGCCTGCCGGGAGCCCTCAGTCCGAGGATGTGCACCTCAGGGCTTGAGAACATTGTCTCTGCTGCTGGGTCCGGAACTATCCTCAGTCCCCAGTGAGGATGCTTTTCTTTTCCCAACCTCCCTGCTTCCTGTTTACTTGATATTTGTGGTGAATCACATCACAATCCAGGCCTCCCTCCTGCCCCATGGTAAACTGCCCTGGCTGTGACCGCATCTCTGAGTGCTGCAGGAGCAGTAACAGAGCACTGGCAATCCTCCCGCTGGGGCCTGAGCTGCTACAGGAATAATCCAGAACTGTGAGGGAGGCTTTGAAGGTGATCCTCGGGTGAGATTGCCAGGCTGGCACTTAAAGAGACCCAGCTGCAAGTGTTTCATCTGCCCACTCGCCTCTCCCTTCTTGCTGATTCCAGTCAGCCCAGATTCCAGAAGCCGAGGCACAAGCCTTCTCATCTTCCCTGCCAGAGCCCTGCCATTCCCACCTCCTACCAGTGCGGGTGAAGACAGTTCCAGGGCCTCTGGGCAGGACTGCAAGACCAGGCTCCAGGCACACACCCGTGTGGGTCAAAGCAGTGGAACAGGGATGTATCTCCCTCTCTCGTCAAGGTCAAATTCCAGGAGCTCTTGGGAGGAAATCTGCTGTCTGTCATTTAGCAGAGGGCTCCTTCTCCAAGCATTTCTACGGGATGCGATAGCAGTGGCCCAGGGGACCATCCAGGCCCAGAATGACTCTTCAGTACTCAGAAGTTCCATTCTGGTCAGGGTCCTGAGTTGAGCTTCAGATCATCCTGGGAGTCCACCATGGAGAACAACACTAGCCAGGGAGTTGCACCCTTATCCTGGCTGCTCCTCCCAAACCTGCCCCAACCATGGGAAGCTCACCCTGCCTTTACATCCTCCTAAAGGATCCACACCACCGTAGCCACCTCCTCCTTCGAGGGCTACTCAAAACCAGCCCTCTGTAAATTAGCCTCAGATGTGCCTTGGCAGTAAACACTGCTCCAGGAAGCTCCACAGTCTGTGCTCGCCCCTTGCCATGGCACTCAGGCCATCAGGGCACAGGAGACTACATAGAGCTAAGCAGGAGCCAAGTGACAGCTGACTCCCCCAGATGCAACCCAGTGGCTTCATGCATTAGCTCATGACACCGGCTCTGCACCTATGCTACAGCAGTGCGGAAGCCTTCCCTTGCGGCCCCCCTCAGCCCTTCTGTATTTCGCCACAGGCCATGGGCCACATCAATCCCTGGGCCACTGTTGGAAAAACAGGCAAGGCCAGCTTTCCCTGAGGCCTCCACTGGGGCCGGGGGAAAATTGAGACAGCATGGGAAATGCTTATTTTTCTCACACATCTCCATTCCAACTTTGTAAAAACTAACAATGAGTGATTCTGAGATAAGAGAGTGATTTATTCTGAGCCAACACAAAAGACTGTGCCCAGAACAAACCTCAAGTTAAACACGGGACCTGCGCCAAGACATGGTCCCTGCTATAAAGTCTCCATAAGCCTTTTATAGTCCCAAAAGAAAACCAGTGAGGTCTTCAGGAGACAAAAGACAAAAAGATGGAGAACCACCCACAAGACCGGCTGCTGCTTTCAGCGAGGTAAGGGAAACTACCCACAGCATCCAGTGCTGTCTCCTTCCCAGCCTAAATGTGACAGAGGCCAGAGGTCAGAGGAGCTGGCACACATTATAAGATTCTGTCCAGTGGACATATAGAAAATGCTAACCCAGACACGAAGGCCTTTCAGCCAGATGTGGCCTCTCACATGACAACTCCCTTGGGCTGAGACCCACACTCAGCTCTACTGCGTGGCCAAGAGGGCCCCTGTGATGTGGGCCAGCAAGACCTAGATGTCCATTTGCACTTTTCTGCCTCCAGCTGGTGGTTATGTGCTGTGGTGCTATTCCTGGGTTGGGGGCATGTGGAGAGTGGCAGAGAGTGGCTGGCCCTTCTGTGTGGCAGGCCTGGAGGCAGAGGACTCTGTGTGTTAGCAACTCCCATGTCTAAAGACATTGTGAGTGTGACAGGTGCACACTGTGCTCCTTGGTCAAGTATGATTGTTGTGGCTAACAGTGTTACGTCGTGTCACTTTCAGAGGCTGAGGCAGGAAGGTGACAGGCTGTGACTTACTAGACCCTATCTCAAATTTTAAAAATAAATAAAAAGGGCCTGGGAATATAACGCTGTGTGAAGGTCCTGATTTAATCCCTAGCACAGCAAAAGCAAAACAACAAAAAGAGCAACATGTATTCCTGGCTTTCTGAGCCATTCAGTAGAAGGGTTAGAGAACAAAGGAGGCTGCCTGCTCCAAATCTATTTTAGATCATGAGTATCAAGAGTTCAAAGGAAACGTTTATCTGAGAACCCAGATCCTACTGGCCCCTGACTGATTGAAGAGCAAGGATTAGAGAGAATGTTCTTACAGCAAGGGTGTTTTGTTTTCCAGGGCTTCTGTCAAAACAAGTACAAGCTGGGGGCTCTAAACAATGAAATTTCATTCTCACAGTTCTGGGGGGCCAGAAGTCCAAAATCAAGGTGTCACAGGTCCACACTATTGAAGAAGGGCCACTTCCCAGCCTCTTCCAGGAAGGCTGCCTGAGCATGGGTGGCAGGGATGTCCTATGATTGACAGTATCCCAGGGATTCCTTGCCTTGCTGTTCTGTTTCAATCTCCACATGACATTCTCCTGTATCATCTGTCCAGATTTCCCTCCTATTAGGCCACTAGTCATTGGAGCAGTGTGACCTCAACTACTAATTCTGTCTGCAAAAGACCCTATTTCCTAACAGGGTTGCTTCCAGGCAGTTACACTTGAACACCATGTAACCCACAGCAATGAGGGTCTATGGCTGTCGACTTTGCTCATGTCCCGGGACCATGTCCTGAGGGGCTGGTAACCTCATGCACTTGGCTACTCTGCAAGAGACATGGGGAACTCTGCATTCCTGCTATCCTTGAACAGGGTTTCCTGACGTTTTTGCATTCACCTTCCTGGTCTCAGCTTAGAAGCTTATCAGCCTTCATTCATCATCTGAGCCTTCCAGGAGGAGAGGCCAGACTGTCAGAGCCCCAACACCCAGCATGGCTGTAGCCACTAGGGCATCAGGAGAAGCCTGTATGGAAGGAAGGGCTCTTCCTCTACTGACAGATCTCTCAGCAGCACTAAATATCCCCCTCTACCTTGTTAACAGACATTGACTGCAGGAAGAAGACAGCCTTGGCTGGGTCTTGCATGGCAAACAGCTACTTGGATTGGATGAGGTCTTTGGTCCCACACACCTGTGTCCCGACAATATCTAAGCCCATGCCCTTTGCCTTACCTGTGTGAATGTGCCCTGCCCTGTCACTGCCCTTCTTGTGCTAGCAGATGAGGAGACCATAAGGGATCCAGCCCCAGTCTGGTTGTGTAGTACAGTATCCTGGCATGTGGAGGGGTCAGTGAGGGGCCCAATATGGCTGCCACAGCATGAGTGGCAGGAATGAGCAGATAGGGTGGGGCCAGTCAGGGCCTTGGGTCATTTCAATTGCCCTCATGTTCTGGGGTTACACCATTTCGGCAGCCTCCTTGCCTTGGGGCTATGCCTCACCCCTGGGGCTCCTTCAAGTGTTCCAGCTAGATATGAAGGAAAATGCCTGTGTCCATCCCACACATACTAAGATAACCCAGGTCTGAGCAAGGGCACCTCGCAAATTTCACACCTTTCTTTCCTTGCCTTAACAATTGGAAACTGCAGACTTAACCTAGTGACTCCACCACACAGTTGACTGGTTAAACAGAGGCAGAAGCCACCAAGCCCCTGATGTGACCCTTGGCATGGCTGAACATATGATATCTTTGCAGCCTCCAAGGGATGAGAGCCTGAATGGGCTTCTGCAGGGATACCGGATCTACTACCGGGAGCTGGAGTCTGAAGCAGGCGTCAGTCCTGAGGCCAAGACACTCAAAAGCCCTTCTGCACTGAGAGCCGAGCTCACAGGTGAGCCATTTACCCCTGCCTGGGACCACCCCACACTGGGCAGGAGACCTTGCACCATGGGAGCCTGGAGGGGCACAGACCCAAGCTGGGGACCTGGATCACATGGTTTGTAGTGGTAGCAAGTAAAGCACAGGTGGGGCTGTTAGGACACAGCTAGAGAGCAAAGGGGCCTTGAATGCCATGAACAAAGGAAGGACAAGCATCAGGCCCTAGGGAAGCACGGCTATGGCATGTGCTGATAGCATAGGCCTGAGACAGAGGCTGGACCAGCACCCTCAAGGGAAAGACAGGCTCGGCTATTTTCACAACATGTGGCCTCAAGCTGTATCCTGGCATCTCCCAGTCCTGGCCTGCCCTAGGCCTGGCCTGCTCTGCCTTTGGTCCAGCTGTCACTCAGGCAGCCTCAGGAATAGCAGGAGCCCTCATCCCACATCTCTTCTCTCAGAAGGGAGTGGAGGCTTTTATCTCCTAGCCCCCCACCATGGTGTCACAGAAAACCCACCTGTCCTTGACAAGGCCACAGGCCATAGGTCTAGAAATGTGCCCCTGGGCAGCGCCTTCCATGTCTCCACCCCTCTAGCAGGAGGCTGCTTTCCAGCACTGGGTCTCTCTACCAGATGCCACAGAGCTTTGTACCCACAGAAGCAACCCTCATGGGTACAGGAGCAGTGCTACTGGTCCTGAGGAAAGAGAGTGGCTGTTTTTTACCTTTGCCTCACCCAGAAGATGTCCCTTGCTAATGACCCCACCATTAGCATCTCCCTGGGCTTGCACAAAAGGCCCAGACTGTAGTGGGGCTGGGCACATACACCAGGTCATGTACAGGTGCTTAATTTGGGTGATCTCAGGGCAGGCCCCCACAGCTGAGTGTCAACAAGCTGATAGCCCTGCTTTCTGGCAGTGCCCAGGAGAAATCATGCCGGAGCCTTCCCTGGCATAGCCAGACAGGATGGCAGGGCAGACACCATTCACAAGTTTGGTCCCATCAGAGGGTGGCCTGCCTCCGTCTGGCTTGGACTGGTGTCTTGAGCTTTGGTAGCCCAGGGGCTGATGGAAAGGGTATGGGCAGCACTGTGGGTGCCTCTAGGGGCATGTGTGGGAGCCAGCCACCTCCCCTTCTGTCTGCTGCAGTAATTGTGTCCCTTTGTGCTAACTGCTTTTATGCTTTGCTTACCCCTGATAGCCCAAAGCAGCTTCAAGACTGTAAACAGCAGTTCCAGGTTAACAACGTATGAATTAACACGTAAGTGTGCACGTCTCCAGCCGGAGGCCACTGTGACCAGGCCTTGCCAATTAAGCTCTCAGTGGACGGGGGAAACCAGGCTAGATTAATGGCTCTAATTTCTAGAGCATGCCCCTCCCATGCTACTTCTCAATATGCTGAAATGATCAGGGGATGGGAAAGGAAACTTCTAGAAATGAAAGCTGGGAGAGTTGCAATACGGGCATCTGGTCTCATAGGCTAGGCTGGAAAGGAGAGTCGGGTTGGACAGGATCTTCTGACTCCCTTGGCCCTTTCTTTCTTTTCTTTTCTTTTTTTTTCTTATTTGTCTTTTAATTTTGACAAAATGGACCTAGCGCACAATTTGTTGTCTTAACAATTTTTAGTGGGTGACAGTGATCCACTTATCACTGTCCACCTCCAGAACTTTTCCATCTTCCCAAACTGAAACTGTCCTCATTAAACACAAACTCCCTATTCCCAGCTCCCACCGTGCTGCTTTCCTGTCTCTGTAAATCCAACAACTCTGGGGACCTCATCCAGTCAGGTGCTTTCTCCGGCCCCTTGGGCCTGGCTTATCTCCCTGAGAGTCAGGTCCTCGTGGTTCACCACCTGTTGATAGCAGGGGTCAGCATGTCCTTCCTTCTGAAGGCTGAATAACATTCCATGGACTGCATGCTACATTTTGTCTGGCCATCCTTCCTCTGACCTTAAACTCTGAAGCTTTTCCTTTGGTTTTTGCCTGAGGATGGATCTCAAGCTTCAAATGTGGGGGCTGGGAATGTTACTCGGTAATAGAGCGTTTGCTTAACATTCATGGAGTATGGGATCCTGACTCATTACGTGGGTAGAACCATGCTCATTCCTCTGAGGCTGGTCAGGAGGACCTCTGTGGTCTGATTCACAAGGGAGGCACAACGAGGAGCTTGGTGTGAGTCCAGCACTCACCCCAGAGATGGCACATGCAGGGACTGCAAAGCAACACCAGCCCCACAGCAGTATCTCCATGGGACAGTTTCTAGGACATTTTGGCTTCAAGGTCAGCTCCACTCTTCCCGTCACTCAGTGGAAGACTAGCACTCAACCACCTTCTGTGTCACTACAAACATGGCTTCCCACACATACCCTTTTCTTCCTAGCACACAGTCATGAAAAACTCAAGGGCCTCAGGTCTACTTAGATCTTTATAGATTTTTTTTTTTAACCCAGACTTCCTGTACCTGTTGGTAGTTCTCTGGAGAAATCCAGGCCAGGGCTGGCTACAACAGAGCCCACTCTAGGAAGGCTGTAGTGCTGCCTTTCATGGAGTGTGGGGTAGACAGATCCTGTTCTATAGGTGCTTGATTGACAGCCAGGAGGAAGAGGAGGAATGTGACCTGTAATAGGGCCAGAGATATGTCACAGTCCACTGTGGAAAGCAATTTTAACTATTCCATGCCTCCCCTGGGGGTGCTAATTCCTCCAGTATGAGCCATGGAGGGAGGTTTCTAAGGTGGTCCCACCACAGGCTGACTAGTCTCCTTTACCCTCATAGATCTGAAGAAGTACAGGCGCTATGAAGTGATCATGACCGCCTACAACATCATTGGCGAGAGTCCTGCTAGCGCACCTGTTGAAGTCTTTGTCGGCGAGGCTGGTAAGCTCTATACATCCCTGTTCCTGTGGCCACAAGGAGTGGAGTTTAATGGCTTGGACTTGAAGGCCTTCTCTCCCTCCCTACACATATCATGGGTGGGGTGAAGGTTTATGTGTCATGGTTGGAAGGGCCTAGTTTAGCAGGGTTCTGGGCTCTCCTCGCAGCTCCATTATAGCCATGTCCTGCCTCTGTGACCTCAAGAGTCTGTCCAGAATCTGGCACTATTTATTGTAGTATGACTTAGTTCCACAGAGATGTTCTCTACTTGGTAAGGGTCCTAACTTGTGGGAAATGGGAACCTTGGGATCTGGAGTTGTGGGTGTTTGTACATAATTATCCACCCATCCATTACTCTGTGGGCTTCTTCAGTAGCCCTGTGACCAGGGGCAGCCTCATTTGTGGTAGCATCACATTTTCTAGGTCTACAGAAACCACGTGGCTCTCTGTTTCTACCCTGATAAGATGTGGCTCTTAGGTTTGATTCAGGGACATCCCATTGGTGAAACTAACTTGCAGTGAGACTCGGTACTGTGACTCCAGATATACTTGCTCATCCATCTGTCTCCTGGCCTCACTTAATAAGGCCACGCTGTCCCCACTGATTGGAAGATTGCTGCACTCAAGAGCTCAGCTTTTAGCTGACAGCTTTAGAATTTCTGTGGCATAATCTGGGGACTGCTGCCAGGATGGCCTAAGCAGGTCCAGAGGTGACACTTCAGGCCCAGAACAGAAAGCCCCATCCTTGGCAGAGAAGCTGATCAGCCGCAAGAGGATGGGCCTCTGGGCCAGATGATAGAACTGCATCTGGTGACCTTTGGCAATTTAGAGGGTCGTTGTTAGAAAGCAGTTAATGACACAAAGGGAATAATCAGGCACTATTTACATATATGTGAGGATGCAGGAAGGGAGCATATGCAATTCCTACCTCTCTTTCCTCACAAGTTTGTCCTGGGGGCTGGAGATCCAGTGATGGTGGGGTGCTTATTGATAAAAGAATCATATGGTGGGAGAGGGACATCCCCAGTACCTCAGTAAAGGGTGACTCTGGCAGACTATACTCCTCCAGAGTCCCCAAGCAGCTTGTCCCCAAGGATCAGGGATGGGAGAACTGGACACAACCAACCAGCAGGGACGTGTAGTACCTGAGCTGGCCCATGGGAACTATGCCAGCCTGCACCCCCGAGATGGCAGGTGGGATCCAAGGCTGCAAAGCAAAGCCCAGAGAAAAGAGATACAGAAGGGAAAAATGAGACAGGCCAGGCAGTGTCCTGTTGTGACATGGTGCCAAATCCTAGCTCTGAGTCTAGAATGTTTGTTATTGTGGTAAGATACACATAATACAAAGGTTGTCTTCTTAACCTTTGTTGTCACAGTTTGAGGCATTAAGCACATTCACAATGTTTATGCAGCCAACACGACCATTCACCTCTAGAACATTCTCATCTTCCCAGGGATTCCAGACCCATTCACCATTGCCTTCCCTCCCCACTTCTTCCCAGCCCCTGGAAACCTCTAACTTACTTTCTGTCTTTAAATTTGCCTATGCTAGATATTTCATGAAACCATGTGGTATTTGTCCTTTTGCTCCTGGTTCCTGATACTTAGCATAACATTTCTGAGGTTTACCCATGTTGGCATGTGTCTCAATTACTTTTTATTTTGTTGTCAGGGACAAAATACCTGACACCCAAAATTAAGAAAGGAAAGGTTTGCTTAGCTTACAGTGGAGGTTTTAGTCTATGCGCGGCTGGCTCCCAGGCAGAGTGGCACATGGCAGTGAGCAGCAGTTCATGGGAGCAGAAAACAGCAAAGAGCAAAGGGAAAGGCAGCAGCTGCAGCTTCTAGCCAGCCTCTCTCTCCTCCTTATATTATAAACCAGCTACCCTGGGGCTGGGGATGTAGAACTCACACAAAGTCTATATCCTCCTCTTGCACAGGATAAGGATGTTTACAAACTAAGAATCCTGGCTCTCTGCTGAGTCACTTAATTAAACTTCTAAATTTCTCAAATTGACATAATGCACAACCAGTACAGCATGTATCAGAACTTCATTCCGTTCCTTACCTGACTAATATTCTATTAAGTGGATAGACTACTTTTGTTGCCCCATTCTTGTGCTGGTGAATGCTTGGGCTGTTTCTGCCGTTGGATAAGTGAGGACACCTGTCAGGAACATTGGAGCCCTGGGTGTTTCCTAGTAATGGTGAACTAGGCTAGAGTCCCTGTTCTGTAGTCTCTGCTTTGGGCCAGAGGTGTCCCCCTTTCCACCACCTCCCCTGCATACCTTTGCTACCCATGAGCACTGACTTGAACATTCTCTCAGGATCTGCTGTCTGGATCCCTCACATTTCACAGAGGAAAAGGGATCCCTGCACATCCTGCCCTGGTGATCACAGCCATTGACCCCATGATGCTGGAGGAGATACTGAGTCAGGGCAGAACTAGACCTGAGAAGTGGGGGCACCCAGAGAGAGTGCTGAATGCTCACAAAACCAACTGGCCTGAGTACAGGGGGTATCTCTGGCCTTCTTGGACCCATACAGCAGCCACGGGGCTCCAAGGACCAGCTCAGGTTTCCTTGCAGGGCTCTGATGATGCCTTCCCCCAACCCCAGGGAGGGCCAGTCTCTTCCCATGCGGCATCCTATGAAAGCCCCTGTGTCTCACTATCCATGGCCCTACCTTCTCTCCAGCACCTGTTGTTGTCACAGGCCATAGCTACTCCTCCCTGAAGGGCCCCTTGCCCAGGGTTAGTACCTGTGTCACTCCTGCCAGTTCATGTTCCCAGACATCCACACTGGGCCATGTTCAGGAGGCAGCCATGGACCCCTGTGCCTGGTATGTAACCCGGAGCTGGGAGCTGCCAGCTCTGCTGCCATTGGCCTGGTGTTCTTCTCTCTCCCCCATGTTCCCACCAGAGAGAATTTTCTGGAAGAAGGACAGCCAGTCATCCCAGCATCACTGCCAGTTAGTCATTACCATTCCAGTCTGTTTCTCAGAGCCCAAGAACCCTGCTGTAGCAATTCCCTTCCAACATGAGAGGTACTGCTAATGTGTTGACTTATAGCAAGCACACCTTCAGAAAAGTACGCCATCCAGCCAATTTCTGTTCACTTGGCTAGGCACTCCAAAACAGTACAAATTAGTTGGCCTGAAATGCTCAAAGGCTTTTAAGAAGAACATATTGCCAAGCACAGTGGTACATGCTTGTAATCCCAGCACCCTGTGAGGCTGAGGCAGGAAGAGTAACAAGTTCAAGCCAACCTGGACAACTTAGCAAGAACCTATTTCAAAATAAAAATATAATAGGGTTGGGGATGTGGCTCAGTGTGAAGGTCCTGGAATCAAGACCCAGTGTTGGAGAGAGAGAGGGAGGGACAGAGAGGGAGAAAAGGAGAAAGAGGGGTGGAGGGAGAGAGAGAGAGACTTAGCTGTGGTTTCATGAGTAAATTTGTGGGTCTGAGGTTGGCTCTGTCTTCTACTGGTTGTGTGACCATGAGCAAATTGTTTAACCACTTTGAGCTACACTACTGAGGCACTATACCACCGTGGTATAGTGGGGTTATGTGGAAGGAGACTGGGCTTCTCATCCCAATGACGCACCAAATCTTCCCTTCACATGGGATGAGTACCCAGAATGTTCCTGGCCTGAAGTCAGTGACCAGTCAGAGCTTAGTGAAAGGGTGAACAGGCCCTAACATACAACAATGAGATAGGTAGAGAGATGATCTGCCAGTCTCCTCCAGCCCAAATATGTAATATTTAAATCCTTTTAACCTTAGGGGAAAAGATAGTGTTTTCACTGAGATTGATTTGCAAGCACCAATGTTATAAATCAGTAAAAATAATGCAAAAGTCAGGACTCTAGTCTGCAGGAGGCAGAACCCTGATGTGCATGCACTCAAGCCAAAATAATCATTTCTTAACTCCTTGCATTAGTTCATTTTCTGCTGTAACAGAATGCCAGCACTGGATATTGGAGAAGAGTTTGTTTAGTTCACAGTCCTGTGGGCTCAAGGACATTAGCACAAGCTTAGCTCCCAAGAGAGGCCTGTGGCAGGTGATATCACAGTGTCAGGAGGATGTGCAAACAGGAGACATCCCAAGGTGAGCAGGAAGTCCAGGGTGGCCATGGGGCAGGGTGCTCTTAACAGCCTCTCTGATAACTAACAGGGCTCACACAGGAGCTACCTTGATGTCTTTCAAGGTCAGTGCCCTAAAGACTTACCATTATGTCCCTCCTGTTAAAGGTCCCCTTTCTCATCACCACACTGGGGACCAACCTCCAGTGTGTGAAACTTTGGGGGGGGTCCACTTGAGCTGTAACCGAAGCATAACACTTCTATAACAGCCTAGATACAGCTGGCTCTTTGTTATCCCTGAAAGCTCTAAAAGGTTCACCATCACCTGGTATGGCTCCAGGCCTGGTGGGACCTTGTGCCTTAACAAGCAACTGCCCAGCTCCCTCTTGGTTCCATTCCTTCTTCGTGGGCTCCTTTCTTAGACTTCAGTAAGGTGGCTGTCCAGCACCCATGAGTGAAAGCTTCTGTCTTTGTGCACTGTCTGCAGCAGAAATTTACTGGAAACTTTAGGTCCTTCAGCTGGACTTCAGTTGCTCCCATTGCCAAACCAGTTGCTGTGGACGGTGACCTAAGGTTCCAAAGCCAGGGACCGATGTCATCCCTGCCTGGACCAGATGCACCAAAATGCGAATGTGGAAAGCAATTGCAAAGGCAACCCTTGACCAATTACCTTTGTGGTGTTGCCTTAGGGGATCTTTGCCTTAAGAAAATCCATTGTTGTGCAAGTCTGGGTTAGTTGTGTAACTCAAACTTTCTGCTTGGCTGAACTGAAGTTTCATTCTTTTTTTCTTTTTAAAAAAATGTTTTTTGTTTTTTTTGTTTTTTTTTTTTTTACATATTTAGGACAGTGTCTACAGGGTCTTACTACACAGGTCAGACTCATAGTAATCCTCCTGATTTCAGCCTCCCATGCACTGG